CACTGGGCTGTTCAAATCGTCTTTTTAAACTAACCTTGCTATTTTTACAAGCTCTGGGCTGTGTGTGTTTCAGGGATGTTCTTTTCTGGCTGCATGTGAAAGTGTTTTTTTTAAAAAAAAACTTTCTAGCTCTTAGCTATTTTTATTGCTAGAACTCCACAACAATTCGGCGTATTCCACACCTTAAGAGCTACTGGCCCTCGTCGGGGATAAAGACATCACTCCAAACCAGAAAAGGCTGAAACAGCATTCCAAACCTAGCGTGATAATATGGCATCGACTCTACGGGGACACTGCAGTTTACGTGTTATAGATTATTTTTCGCCCTTGCTAGCCTCGGACCAAGATGTGGTGCGGTTGTTGAGCATTTCAAACGCTCAATTACAGCATGAAGTTCACTCTGATACGCTCCATTCCGACTGTATAAAGGCCATATTCTGAATAAATTCGTCTCAGGGTTTGTTTGTTTTTTTACAGATCATGGTTAAAAGTCTAGCTTAAAGCAATTGAAAATATTATTCTTGCTATTGATTTAAACACTAAGGGGGTTGCTAAAGGCGGCTTGCCATCTTTTTATACTCGGTACAGAAGAAAACAATTTAAGCACTTATTCCACAGTGTTTGGTAGTTTTCGGGCATAATAATGAGTCACACTTGAGCTGTCAATTCCATTTCCAATACGTAAGTCAACGTAAGAAATAAGTTGTTCGTTCAAAAACCGTATTGTTAGCATAGAATCACAGCTGTAATACCATCTAGCACCTATACCGATCTATAAAAGTATGCTTCAAGGCTTTAGATTCAAAATCGTGGCTGATAGGATAACTGTAACTCCTTTTAAAGCAGTGAAGCCGGCAACACATCGCACTGAAACTAACTTTGACCAATGTAATGTAACGCATATATTATCTAGCAGCCTGCCTAAATACTTCGCTACAGTTAAAGGAAGGCGGCTCAGGCAAACAGAAATCCGCCCTCAAGTGACACTTTAGACTGAATGTGAATTGAAACACATTTCACAATAAATATTAGGGGCGTGTATATTAAGCTTTATTTCAGATTGTTTTTCCCCCTCCCATCGAAAACAAATTAAGAGTAGCCCGTGTCTTTGTAGAGGACAATTAAAATATTTACATTTCTTTCTAACTGTTCACATTGGAAACACGGGTATAAACCTCTCTAGCTGAAATAATCAAGCATAGTTTGCGGTGTTATCGTTCAATCACCAAGGTGGCGAGATAGTCGCTTTCATTTTAAGTACCTGTCCGGATTCTCTAGTCTAAGGAGTAACCTGAAGTTCACTTAAAACCAAGCCTAGTGTGAAACTAGGCTGCCGCCTCACCTAGCCGGTTACCAGGGCAACTACAGACTGCAGTCGTTCAAAGTTGGAGGACCTTAGTCATAATCGGTATTAACAAGCCTGCAATAACGACATTGAAAACGGTAACTAAATTCCACGATCATTCCCTTGTTTAAACATAAGTATCTTGGAACCTAATTTTGAACGCAGTCTATTAGCGCTTGCAAAGCTACAATATGAGACGACCAAAAAAATTTAAAGGTTAAACTACGTATGTTCATGGTATGCGTCAGAGTCGCGGTGGTTAATTACAATTTAACATTCCCATCTGCTCTAAACCTTGAACAAGCAATTAAAATTGACCACGACACAGTCCTACACTGTAGACAGTGCCTTTATGTCATGCTTGTTTCCTGTAAGCCTGAAGTGATACCACAAAACAGAGAATTAAACAGTCCAACCACGACCAAATGTTAGGTTTGAAAACGATAATGAATATGAGAAAAAAAAACCCTTAACCTTAGTTTTTTAAACCCCCCTAACTACCTTTATACAATTCGGGTCAGAAAAGTTTTCAGATAAGGTGGCTGGATGCCTTCCGATGCCGCCGGTATTGCAGCTAATTGGAGATGGGATGGCTGACTGCCAGTAACGCATAAGAAAATAAAATTGCTCGTTAAACAACACTAAACCTAAAGAGACGTCCGTTTTGATTCTTTTTTACATAGCCCTGGTTTTGCCGCCATGGTCTCCAGTGTCCTCAGTACCTGCAGGGTGTATTTTCCAGGGATCTGCGATGCGATTGGATCGAGTCTTATTGTTATCAGTAGCTAGTTTTAAACTCTGGGATATTGTCGCAAGAACTTTTTCCTTTCGGTATCGGTCTACAGCACATACAACATTCACACGGTAAGAGACTTGAACAGGGATAAGCTGGAAAAAATCTCATTTTTCATTAAAAAAAGAAAACATAAAACAGTTTTTAATTTTCTGTCTTCATGATAGGATACGTTTGCTTAATTGAAGTTAAACACATTGTACAAACAAGAAAACAAGAAGGAACTTTTCTAGACACAGTTTATCTGGTTCCCATCTGCCTGTGCCACACAAATCATGCTTATTTGGCACGAGTTTCAGTTTATGTTTTTCTTTACTTTGTGCATTTCATCTCTGTGCCTTCACTGGCACATTTTAGGTCTATACACTACGAACCTAAGGATTGTTTCCATTAAAACAAGACACCTGCTATAACAGAGAGTGAACTTCCTTCTGATCTCCATTTACTACTGATGTGCTAAACCAGAAAAGGCCTGTCTTAACAACTACAAAACATAAATACTTTTTTGCTAACCTATCAAAATAAAAAGGTACTAATCAGTATAGAATGTTTTCAAGATTGAATATACACTTGGCATACATACAGATACATGTTGGTCCCGGTACTACCAAATGGCAACACAATGGTGTTCATTTCTGAGACACAAACTAAAGCTGGCAGGCATCACAAATTGACTGATACAAACACACAAACAGCAAACAAAAGAAACCTTTGAATAACAGCCACATCCAGGAGATGGAGAGTTGAAGACATTAAAATGGCACACTTCAAGGTTCTGGGTTAACAGAACTGATGACCCCCTCAATGTAACATTTCTCATTCCTTTAAAGCACAGGGCAAGGTGCTGGACAGATTGCAGAGGAAACCGATATCTCCCCATAGTACAGCACATGGTGTCACAGTGTTTTTTTTAATCTCCCACACTGTCATTCCAACATGTCTCACTTATTCCCTGGAAAAAATAACTTCTTAAGTTCTCCTGCCCACCTCTGCTGACTTAAATACTTAAATGACTGCTGACTTACTCCACAGATACGATGGTGGTGTGATTCCTAATGGAGATGAAGGTGGCACCATCAGACTCATTTAACTTGTCAGACGTTCAGAAGAGAGTCTCAGAAGATGAGTAAGTAATCACGCTGTCACCAAACTCAAAGACTTTGTTTTACATTAGTTATTACATACTGGGAGAATTGGAACCTTTGCATTATTTGCTTAGTCAAGATAGATACTTTTACATATTGATTATTTGATTCATCTGTTTTTTGGAGTTGGACAATTGTTCTGTGAGTATGTCTTTTCGAAGATTTTTTTGTGACTTTCTAGTGTTATTGAACATTTTTAAAGCAACATGGAGCTCATAGAAATATCAAAGATTGTATGGGCCAGAAAGTATTAAGCAAAAGGAATATGGTGCAAATCTGTTAGGACACTGACCCAGCACAATAAATTTAAGAAATATTATACCTTTAAATGTGAACAATTCTGCTCATATTGCTAATGAAATCTGTGGCCACTGAACGTCTATTATAATTGAGTCCTTCAGACAAAGATTCATATATTTTGTATATTATATATTATCCATTTTGAAATATGCCGTCTTTCTCTGTGATCTTCCGCTAAATGTTGTCCTAAGACCCACTATATAATATTCATTACTATAGAATCAATCATGAATACTGGGGATTGAACGGAGCCAGAGCCACATCATCTGTATGGCTAAAAAAGTTAAAAACAAAGTCCTTAATGAGTCTTAATCTGAAGGATTCAATTATCTTCCAGGTAATTATTTCTTATAATGTTTAATTTAAAAAATGCAACAGGAAAAAGGCCTCATTCAATCATTGTGGGCTTCTAATATTTAGCCTATGGAAAAACGTAGGTCTAGAAGGCAAATCTCCCATCGTGTCTTAGAGGGGATGGAGCACAGGCTAACTCACTGTGAGCTTCCTCACACTAGAACACTTCCCCCAATTTGCCCCACCCTGCCCTAGAGGTACCACCCACACAGGGATGGAAAGGGCGGGATCAATTCTCATTCTCCAGCATCCAGGCCCTCTGCCAGACCTCCAGAGGTGCCCAAGTGAGACAAAGTAACCATTTTGTCCCCGACATGCGCTCGTGTCTTTTTGGGGGCTAGGTTGCCACAACTAATTCGAAACAGTCTTGAATGCAGTAAAAGGACAGGAACATTATGAACTTCTCTATTCCCTGTCTCTGCACTTGGTGCTTTTGCTCCTGTGGAACATTTTCTACAGCTTTAAAGGTACAATAGAAGGTGATGTATGGAAAAGAGAAATCAGATGTCTTTTTTTAGAGTACAGCATGGACCTTTGGGGGAGTTAGCAAGTAGAGGGAGATTTGCATCTAAGCACAGACTTTGAAAAGTATCTTGATCTTTTTTTTTTACTTGAAGCCTGCCTCAATATTACTTGATCATATCTGATGCTCTTTCACAAGAGATGTTTCTATAATATCACAAAAATCTAGTTTGGTTTATTTTATCTACTTAATGTTATTTCTATATTGCAATAGAACTGATTATGGACTGATGAAAACCAAGGGAGGTGGCAAGGCCTACAGGTCAGCTTCTAATATTTCAGTTAGACTTTTTTTTTAAATAAAAGCTCACAAAAGCATCACGTGTAATGATGCATGTTTTTCATGCACAAAGCTGCATTTTCATCAATCAGTAAATTTAGAACTGCCACATCAAGATAAATTTCCATCAGTGTAACAAACCCAAATGTAAAATGAGAATCACCCAAGCGGCACTTTAAAGTTGTCATTTCAATCACCACAAGCCAAACAGATGCTTTTGTAGCCTGATAAAAGTGAAAAACGCAAAACTTTTTTGTTGGTTTTTATTTTCTTTTATAATAAACACCCTCATCCAGCTGTTCCTCCATAGATTTATATTTACATTATTTATAATAACTTTAGGATTCCAAAATTATAAAAGAATGCACCACGTCTGACTTTCTCAACGCTCAGACATGGAAATATTCTTGAGTAAGCTTTACCAAAGGTTAGATATTCAGCAGGTGTTAGCCAGTTCAGTAATATCCAAACAAATGAGAAAAGTATCTTTGTGTGAACTGAATTATGACCATACAACATTCTATTTTGTATATTTACAATTATTTTGCTGTGTCAATAAGGATTTGAATAAATCCTTTATATATATACATTCAGTCACTTCATATATATATGAATATATATACACACACAGACACAACAGTTTAATACTGAAAACAACAACTGTGCTCTTTACATTCTGTGTATAAAAGTTGATTCTTTTGTTGTAGTAATGTATTTCAAACTTAATCCATACAGAAAGACTAATGCCTCAGTCTCTCGGCTATTCTCTCCACGCCAATGCCAAATTGATTTCATTAAATTCTTGCAGGTCATTTTCAGTGCAGAGTATAATATAGTGACAATATTCAATTGAATTCTGTACTGTGTCACTGAAGCAGCCTTACAGAACTCTTAAGTGCTGTACTAAACAAATTCAAACAATCGTAACTGACCAATGTAGCATTAGACAGACCTAAGGGCGAGGTCTAAGTCAACAGCATTATAATATGACATTGTAAGTCATAAAGACTTTCACATCTCATTCCAGTCTCAATCAGAAATGTTTTTTTTTTCAATACAGAGGTTCTTAGTACTGTACTTTGATTCTTGGAACAGTTCTAGAGTCATTAAAGTTGTTTATCTTCTGCCCGTTTTTGGAACAATTATACAATAATAATCAACAATACATTATTTGCATTTTAGAAAGTCTTTTGTTACCTTTCTAACAGCTGTATAGTATTCAAAAAAGAACCAGAGACATTTGTAGGAATGTAACAAACTCCTGAAAAAAAAAAGACTAAGCAACCAAGCATGAAGGAAATAAAAATGGCGGCTATAATTTACAATGTTTACGGCATCAGGTGAATGTTTTACGTTACATATACAGCCTTTTACCAGAAGACATGATTGAAATGAGATCCGAAAGGCCATGCTGATTTGACTTTTCCACATAACCAAAACACGTATTTAGCTCAGAAGGAGATGAGAACCTGCAAAAACTGATTGGAAAGAATCACGTTGCTTTTACAAGCAGCTCAAACGCCCTGTACTCCCCAGAGTATCATGGTTTCAAACTGTTGAATGCTCCACAGTGTTTCGGACCTTCTTCCTTCAATTTCCATTCCATTTCAGGTTTAACTGAGGCCGGGGAATAAGGGTGCAGCAAACAACATTTTGGCATTGTGTGTCAAATGTATGTAAATGACAAAGTGCAAGACGAACCTGTGTATATGACGTCAGAACCCCACCTACTTCAAGCATGTAAAGCACATGGCGATCAAAACATCATCAGCTTAACAACTTCATGTAAATAGCTACCCTGTTTCTTCCAAAGGCCAGTATTCATCTCTTACAAATGTTGCTACATGCAGTATTGCCTGTGTACAATTAATAGGAGAGTGGAACTGTAAGCAGGCTGTAGAATGCCTCTCCATGCTTGAAGAAAATTTAAGGACCAACATTTTCTGGCATTACTACCTGAGTCAGAGCAAATCACCAAGGATCAACTCCTACTTTTTTATCAGGAGCAAACCAACACGACTGGCCAAAGTTTAAGACTGCTGAACAAAAGGGCCAACCATTCTTCTTCTCTCTAATTGCATTGGCAATCTACTGTGGGTTTTTGCCCAGAAAACAAAGGGCAGGATTTCTACAGTGCATTTCACTGGCTTTAGATTATTCAAAGTTTGGAGTCCATCTGCTGAGAAATGCAGGTCTCTCCTCTGTCCCCCCATTTTTTAAATTCATGTAGTGCTTTTACAACATTGTTGATATGATGTCATTAAGTTCTGTACTGATTATGGATCACTTGCTGGATAGTCATTGGTATATTAGTCTACATTGCAACGTGGCAAAGCGAATTATTCCCTTATTATGATTGTATTTTTATTATATGTAAAAAAGAGCATATAATGTGCTTAATAAAAAAAATTATATTATGCACTTTCTTTGCATGTGTCACAGGTTAAAAGTGTCTTATCCTGCTGAAATGTAATAATTGAGAGTGTTTATTGAAAATCTTTCTTCCAACGCACAGGATCCATATCAGTATATGTACACCATTTGCACATTTGTGTCTTATTCACAATATGCTGTGACAGAATTTCGTTTTCTGTTAAAATTTTAGAGATGTCTCTCCCCTGATATGTTGTATATTTTTTACATTTCCTAATTAGGCAAAAATAGTAAACAAGCATATATATTTAAAACAGCAGCTGATGGAAAGAACACTTCAAGTTTGAAGTGAAGGCCTAGACTCACTGTTACACAAACTTCATTTAACATACTTTGTCAAGTCACTAGGAATGTCAATGAAGGAGTGATTTTCCAATATGGAAGCTAAATCATAGGGAATGTCTTCTATGAAGGTATAAGGATCAGCCATAATATAAGTCTTCATAACACAAGACTTGTCATAAACCTGGGCTTTGCTTGAACCAGGACACATTCTTGAAACCAAAAACTAACTGTATAGTCACATTCTCTTTTGGCACATTCTCTTATGGCAACATTTGCATTTTTTCCATCAACCCCCTCTCTGACAGTTTAAATAGAAAGATAAGGAAACAAAGGCGCATCAAATAAGGAATTATCGACGTTAAGCAGTGTCCATTGTATTCTGAAATCATACAAACCAAAAAAAAAAACTAATTAAGCATCCAAGTGGCCGAAATGCCAATATAGCTCACCTTGTGTTTTGAAAAGGCGGTATTGTAAAAGCGTTTATTTTAGCCGAAACCGTGGTCATCTCGACAACCCTCCCCCATCTCCAGATTCTAAGTGTTTTTTTTTCTCCGTTCCGAAGTGAGATTAAAAGCGGTCCGAACAATACTGGATATGGAATTCCACACTGCGGTGCTGTGTCCTCAAAGGAAGGCTGGCAGTGCCAGCATGGCATGGCATTGCCCCGGCACTTTGGACTCCCCCTGCTGGCCGACGCCAGCAGGGACCCCCCGCGGCCCGGCCACCTGATCTCTCTGCGCAGAATCAATGGGACCCACTCGGCACTGTTCCTCCTGGAAGTGCAAAACAGTCCAGCTTACAATGAAAGGAGGAAGAGTTTGTTTTAAAAGCAGAGGGAGAGTCCCATCCTTTTTGCAATTTTAACGTCGGGTCTCTCGTTTCGTACCACGAAGGTCTTTTTGGAAAACACTACAATCTTTGCGTCCCGTCGGGGTTTGCGTCCGTGTCTCTTTAGGCGCAGGTGGTCACGGTCATGATGCTCCCCCCGCTGCCGCCGGCGCTGCCGCAGGAGCCGGGAGGCGAGCTGTGGCTGCCCGCCGCCGTCCCCGCCGCTTTCTCCGCCAGCTTTTTGTCCTTCTGCTTGAGGTGCACCTTGGCGTGCCGCTTGCGCTCGTCGCTGCGGGCGAACTTGCGGCCGCAGAACTCGCAGGCGAAGGGCTTCTCTCCGGTGTGCGTGCGGATGTGCGTGGTCAGGTGGTCGCTGCGGCTGAAGGAGCGCATGCAGATGCGGCACTGGAAGGGCTTGTGGCCGGTGTGGATGCGGAGGTGGCGGGTCAGCTCGTCCGAGCGGGAGAAGCGGCGGTCGCAGTTCTCCGCTGGGCAGGCGTGGGGCCGCTCGTGGACCGGGGTCTTGCTGGGGCGGTTGGGGTACTTCCGGGGACGGATGGGCTTGAGCGTCAGGGTCTGGGGAGGCTGGTGGTGCTGAGGGGCGTGCTGCTGGCCCCCTACGAACCCTGGGTGGATTTGCTGCTTGTCCTTGAAGGCCCGGATGGTCTCCAGGGGTGTGATAGGCGGGGGGTTGACCCGGATCGGGTCCATGCTTTGGAAGGGCTTGTGCTCCATTACGCTGACCTCCCCTTGGTGATGGAAAAGGTTGTAATCTGGAATCATGGAGAAGAGACTTCCATCCATGGAGGGCTTGCTAGTGGTGTGGTAGTCAGTGTTCGGGTAGGGCAGAGGGGTGGTGGTGGCAGGGCTGTGGAAGGACACCTGATCTTGGTACATGTCACTGCAGGAGGAATAAGCCGGCAGGGGAGTTCCGTACACCTGCTCCAGCTCTGAAGATTGGCCGCCCATGTTGCCGGCAGATGAGGTCTGCGTGGTGATGGCCCCAGGCGACGGGGACACCCCCAGGATCCCTGCGCTCACCAGGCTGATGATGTTGTTGTCTGAGCACCAGCCTGAACTGCCAATCCCACCCGAGGGAGGCGTGTCGAAGGCAAACTTGCCCAGGTAGGTCACCGTCTGTCCGCTGCGGTTGGGTGGGAAACTGGAACCGTACTGGAGTTCTGGAGTCCCCTTCTCGTTACCCATTCCCAAATCCATGATATTGTCTGAACAGCAGAAAGAGAGGGAAAACAAATGTCATAACATACCTACATCCACTGACTCAGTCAACTAAAAAAAAACCTCAGACCGTCGAGCAACATCTCGTTATTTCCTCATCAACTTCAACACTGTATACCAACAGTTAACAAACTGTTACCAAAAGCATTATTTTATTGTTTGACAGAACAAAATCAGCTGTCTCTAGAATCACAAGACACGAGAGCCTGCAGTTCATCTCATCACTGTAGCCAAAGCCCGTGTGAACATTTTTGAGGCGTGTTCAGGGTTGCACAACAAAAAAAAAAGAGGCAGATTTTCTTTTGCTGGTATTACTGAGAGAAATAGAAAGTTCAGAAGAGAAAACAATGCAATCCATCACAAACCTGTTGATACAGTACGCTGTTGCCTGACTTAAGTCAAAGACAGACCGTCGCTGTGAGGGCTTGCTGTGACAGCTCTCGCGTCAATAAGATACTGCACACCCCTACAACTGAGTCACAGCCCTCCCTTGAGCAAGAGTATCGAATTGTGTGGTGGGTTAAAGTGAAAAGTACAGACTCCTCTGAAAGGTGCATCTTTGGGGGATGACATATGAATCTTTCCCAGGTACCTGATCTGGAGCCTACATTTACTGTTGTCCATATTATTGATCTTTAGTTTAGGAATGATTCGTTTCAGATTTGTATTGTTCTACAATAATGTAAGCAAAGGCACTGACAAATCACAACAACCATATGAAAACTACCGTCCGTCTTATAGCTTCTCAGCACATCTGTATGAGCTGAACTGGAAGGCATTTAACCTGCTTGGAGTAAATATACTACAACCCTGGCAAACAGAAAATGTCAAAATTGCTAATGCTTTAAAACCAAACAGAATCCTGTGGTATACCAATGAAAAGCACTGTGTAGATGAACATGTACAAAGGTGTAGATGTGTCATACACACTTACACAAGACTTGTCTTGAAACTAAATGTTTAGTATATAACAAGAAGCAGAGGACATGGTTTTTAATTGCTTGCTTCATCTGTGGTATTGTGGCATGCCTTAAAAATAAATAATGTACTCAATATACATTTTGTAACAGACATGCATTTTTAAAGACAGCTGCATCTCAAGCAAAAGCTCCGGCCAATAATTGTGCCTATGATGTAGACATGAAGTTTGGAGAGTGTGTGTACAGAGAACTTCCATTTTAAAATGAGCACTCCCAAATCTAGTGGGAATTGTTTGGTTTTCCTCTCAACTGTTTTGCTTCCCTTGCTGTAATAATAAGCCTTCTGTTTAAGATTCTGCATCAGGCTCTGCACAATATGCATAGCCAAGCTACTAGATCCCTCTGTGTTGTGTCCATTTGTTTTGTGCTTGGTGTTTTGTATATAGTAAATGATGTCATTATATGGAAGACCTCTCCGTAACACTATTCAGTTCTAGCATTTGCAATTCAGTTATCATAGATGCAATACAAACCAAAACAGAAACATAAATGTACTTATTACACATATTTTCTAGTATTTTCTAATGTTATGAATTTACTTCATGTATTAATATGTCAGAGAGAAGAAGATACAAGGTATCAAAAAGATACAAACATATATTCATCTACCGTATAAAATTTGTCTTTTAAAAACCAGGAATTTACTTGGATTTCAAAATGATATCCCTCCCTAATTAACAGGCTATTTTTAAATAATTATTTTGGAATTCAGTTTAATGTATTTCCAGAATAAAGTACTTATAGAATTTAGTCTTATGTATATACCTGGCTTTGATAATCCAAATTATATAATCCAGTACCTGGAAGTAAAAACTGGTGAACAATAAACAAAGAAATAGTTGATTTTATCATATAATATTAATGTATAGCTGAAGAGGAATTAACCCCTTAGCTGTTTTTGAAGAGCTGTCTTCATTTTACATATGTTAACATTAGAAAACAAAGGATAAACACAGGGTAGGACTAACATTTCAGATCAAGCACACAGTGTATTGCTAAGCAATTAATTCAAAACGTTTGTTTCTTTAGTAACTGCATTACACATGAGCTGATGAAATGTACATTTATTGGCAATTCCAACATGTGCTCATTCAGAACCTTCAAAAGTCAGTTGAGTGGCCTGGGAGAAATTTACTTGAAGAGACAGACCACTAACGCATTCCATTCCACTAGCCAGCTGTTCAAGCAGGGCTCTGTAAAGCAGAGTGGCTGATTGAATGCACAAGGAAAGAAGTGTTAAGCAAAAGCATTTTTTAAGGAAACCTTCTTAACTATAGCTAAAATAGTAGGTCTCTCAAGTCTATAAACTATTACCCCTTCAATGAGACTTAAAGTTGCTTCAACCAAATTTGCAAAAACCATTCGGCACAGATTTCTGTTCTGATCCCCTTTTGATATTTTGATTGATTAATTGATTGATAATTATGTGAATTGATTACTAAAACGAAGACTGGTTCTCATTCTCATATGAAGCCTTATAAATATCACCAATATAGTCAAGTTCATTTAAAGGTTTACATTGACAGAAGGGGATTAGAATGGGGAGAACATACCTGATTCAAGCATTTGGTTTCATTTTTAATTGCACATTATTGTATCAAATGTCCTGTTATGACAGATATAAAACAATATGAAGAAAAGCATGTCTATGGTCATGTCACAAAACGTGCACAGAGTACTTTAATTTTCTGCTACAGGAATTGCCCCTATGTTGGCTCCTTGTAAAGGAACTGAAATGATATGGGATCTGTTTAGAGGTAAACTAAAACAGCAGTATCTGAAAGAACAATAATGGACAAATCTAAGTGTAATGAAGGGTTCAATCCCTGCCTCTGTTTTAAAATGCATACATTCCCAGTTTCATTCCTACTTATTTATGACTAAATGTGTTAAATATATCACTAATAAGTGTTGAATCAGGAAAAAGACAATCCAGTGGCAAATACGTGCTAAAAACCAGAATAAGTTATTTTTAAACACAGGCTTGTTTTGTTGATATTGCCTCTACAGTGTGCACGATCTGAATAGACACAGTCTATGCTGTATTCATGTATTTTGATTATGTTATTTAGAGTATATTATTGATCTCTTCTGAGTAGTTTCACGAATGGGGGAAAAACATTAATTTTTATTGGTGTTTAAATCAACTCAGCCTTAGTTGGGTTGAGTAATAGAACTCTCCGCAGCTCTCCGTTGATCTCAGACTTTATATATTGGGAAAGAGACCCATCTTTTTAAACTTTTTTTACCCAAACCAAAACATAACTCTGATAAGGAAGAAAACTTGAATTGCTCTCATACAGGACGTGTCTTCGGGAATGCAGTATCGTTTTAGTCATAAAACTATAGAGACGACATAATGGCATTCATATTCGACTCGTTTAAAGGGACAATCGCTCTTTAAGTAAAGACAACGGGGGTCAAGTCCTACTTTTGATATTAAAATAAATACAAATCAGAAAACACAACCCCCCTCCTCCGGAAAATCGAATGAGAATGACAACTCTTGCCTTAACACGAATCTCATACGCAAAGTGGTTGGGTTTCTTTCTTCAATATTTCATTGTTTCCTCGTTGGATTAAGCGAAATAGCAGATTTTGTTTCCTCAGTTGTGTGATTCCCAAAAAAAAAAAAATTTGACCTAAAAATGTTTCCGCGGTCATAAAACAAGACACTAACTGCACTTCCATGTAAAAACATCATTCATTAAAAAAATGATTTTACTGGATTCATCGGTTAATTTAATGTCACAAATATTATTTTTTCATACGATCAAATATCCCTAACGAGTAGTAAAATGCAAAATGACCGTTCTTTGTTGAATCTTAAAAAAACACGAATATGCATCTATATGAAGCGCACACTTTATTGACAATTGGACAGTTCAGGCTTTGAAAATTAATACAGTGTATATACGCGTATCTTTTTAAATTAGCTATTAATCTCCTACTCCTGAAATGTACTATAGTGTTTCACGTGTACGGAAATACAGGACCATTTTCTCCTAAGCAATCGCTTTGATGATCTTCATGTATTTTTTTTTATTTTATATAACACTTTCCGTGATGAATCATCTCAAATCACTTTATAATAAAACAATCAACAAAAGAAACAGGTAGGATGCTGAAGACGGTTTTCCATGTGCGTAGTCAAAACTATAAAGAATCTTCATGCGGACAGAGCCTGTACGTAGATCACCTCAAGAACTATGAAACAGGCGCCTATCACCTCTGCAACTTCGTTATATTGTCACGTACATTTTTCTAAGTTGAAACATTGGTTCCGGTGTTTAAAACTGACTTGACACCCGAGAGCCGTGTCTCTATAGCGTATTTGCTTATTCGCTGTCAAGTACTTCAGGAAGACCGAAAAAAAACGTGTCACCGAAAGTAACAAGGGGATCATATAGAGAATGTAACACAATAGAAACTGTATAGGCAGATGGTTTACTGTACTGCACATTGCCATTGTACATGGTTCCACCCACATTTCAATACACACGCACGTATTTATACATATATGTTACATCTGTGTGTAAACACGTGGAATAGATGTCTTTAATTTGGAATTTCTTATGTAAGTGACTGTGGCTCACCGCTCCGTCAAATAAATTTACCCCCAATGAAAAGTAGATAGTGTACGTAGGTATGCTACAGTATACTTAACAGACATACTCAAATGTAACCGAGACTGATGTATGCCTTATATCGTACGCACTGTCACGTCTTAAGGCAATCATAGTAAAATAGAGCCTATTTGTAACAGGTTGGTGATTTTAAAGGACGTCCAGCGTATATCGTTTTTCTACGCGCAGACATCGGGTCTATCCTTAAGTACATGATACGCTGCGCAATCGTAACGAAACGGGAGAGTTCTGTAAGTGGAACAAGGCAAGATCATAAGCTTCGTATTTTCGCAAAATTTCATCTCCTCCGAAGGCGTTGAGTTCCTAGCCGAGGCCGACGGCTCCATCATCGCTTCATTACCAGTACTTAAAAATACTGTCTCTGGAAAACTGCGCTGCGCGAAAACAGGTGCTCGGCTCTCCGGCGCTGAGAAGCACTCTCAGCACTTTTAAGACAACTGTTGCCCACACTTCGCTGCCGAGATGCGTGCAGTAGTTACAACGAAGCGCAGCGATTTCAGGAGCTGGTATCGCACACCGTTCAACCGCCACATCTGCAACTGTTTTCATCCTTACCTGTATTCATCTGCGAATAGTGAGAAATAGTATCCGTGCTGGTGAAAATGTTCATAGACGTAGGAATGTCCTCTTCTGGGTAAAGACCATCGGGAATCGTATTTATTAAACTGCTCATGGTAAGAGGGAGTTTGTCCGCCAGTTTCCCTGTCATAGCAGTTTTTCAGTCTATCATAAATGGAGACGTACAGGTATCCGTACAGATACACCGGCTGTATTTTCAAAATGACAACACGGTAGAAGATCTACAGGGGAAAAGGAAAGAGAGAAATCCCAGGTATGATGTTGTAGATCCAACAGAAGTTCGCGACGAATGCAATGCTCTGTCTTATCCTTGAGAGCGAAATATATGATGACAGTAAAAAAAATATTTTCCTTTAATGAGTGGTTTTTGTTGGGTTGTTGTTTTTTTTTCTAAGTCTCTGAATCAATGAAACGGTGCTACCAGTTGCACTAGTGTAGCGCAGCTCAGTGTATTGCTCAGACAGGGAACTCCAACGCTTGCTGGTATTAAATAGGGGGACGGAACAACTCTGTGACGTAGATGACCATTTATGGATACACAAAGCTTTGTGTGCTCACCAGACGTCACAATGGAAGTACCTCATAGTGGAACATTAGAGGCGGCAGCAGGAAGATGGCATGCTAGCAAGTTTAGCTCTAGGGAAGTAGGAGCTTTTAACAGTGACAAGACTCCAATCGGAGATTTATGGGCAGCCAGGTTCTCTATCGCGGTGTGCACCTGCCGGTGCTGAATCGATGTTGTTGGAAATGCAAGCGTGCTTGGACTATTGCTTTAATGTGATAATGGACGTTGCACAATGTTCGATGGTGAAGGATGACAGTCGGCGTTTATCGCTTTCTGCCCGCAGTGCAATTACGGTACTACAATTAAGTTAACGCAGTTTTAAGTAAGCCCCTCATCTAGAGGTTTTCCTCAAGCGCTATGCAACCGGGACTCCGTGCACTTGCACCTTTGCAAGACACGCGCGGCTACTTCGTGTTCGTGTTAATTGCCGCTCCGTCAACAGCTCTTTAGATGGTGCAATATTTAAAGGTTGCAATTGTCATGTGCACAGATCGCGGTGCAGGCTAATTCGGGGCTTGTGGTTAACCCACAAACAATGCGCTGGCTACATGCTATTTGTCATTACGTTGGAGTCGATGCAGTTCCAACAATGACTAGCAATGCAGCATTTATTAAGATGAAGTTGTTTTCAGGCGGCCCCGGTAAATGCATAAACCTAGAAAAAAAAAAGTCGCGAGACGACCCTTTCCATTTGAGATTTTGGATTGTAATGAATTCAAAAGCCACAATTCAAATAAATTGCAACAGGAAGTGCAAGCCTTCGCGGCATCTATGAATCTGAAACTGGCGATTCGTAAGCTGCTCCGGTGGCAGACGCGTTCATTTACAACCGCTATTGTAATAATATCTATGTATGCATCCACTGATTTAAGCAACCACCTTTCCAGATATGCTCGCTGGAGAAAGAGATAAGGAGGTAAACACAGATAAAACTGCACATAAAACTTATGCCGACTAAAAGGGTATTAAATCAACACTAAAACAGACCCATCATAAAATACATAGATTTTTACGCATTTCACGTCTATTAGAACGCCAAATCGTTGCACTTCACATTTTTTTTAACGATGGATTTCAGATTCTGAACACGATTGCTGCGACACGCCGATGAGGATGCCACTTCAACAACAACAAGAAATCTATCTTAAAAATCGGGTAACCAGTAAGGATGTCAGATGCCCTAGAAAACGGGAGTTTTGCGATGGTGAACGGCGGACGCGCCGCAGTCACCCAGACCGGGTGCTCGGGTCACTCTCTATGGAAAGTGTCTGCGGACAGGTTTAGCGTGGTGGACTGCTGTACCATGAACCTCAGGCATGGAGAGCACTGGAACCTGTTCTGACCAGTCATGTTTTGTCCATTCTGTAAAGCTATTTGAGATTGTATTGAGGGTATCTAGTCATCTAGGTGCTCTCCGTCGATCTGAGACCGCTGTGACCCCCGTGCCATTACCATGGGCGGTGTAACTTATCTAGCAGTCAGCCCAGTCCATTCACGTAGCTGGAGGTCGTTCAGACTTAGACGTTGAATAGAGGATGGAGTGAGCCGTTCTCAGCAGTCACCTCGGGGTGCTCTGTGGATATTAGGTCAGACCTCGTGGTCTCCTGGCTCGTGCCACACCACAGTAGCCCCTGAACCTTCTCATAGTTGCGCCACAAAACTACGGTGTGTTGTGTTTGTTTTTTGGTGGCCTGCTATTGTATACAGAAGGTAATTCGCTTTTAAATAGCCGCAATTATATGCTGGCACAGATAATTGTTCTAGAATTCAGAGTGGGCAATTTTAATGGAAATGGTTTTCACTAATGCTTCTTTTAACGGGGATGTATAATTGAAATAATATTCATTTACAAGCCTATATGTGAATGTATGGTTGCTGTAATGTGCTTTTCAAATGTATATAAAAAAATAAACTTGGACTTTTTGTTTCCTGGATTATTATACAGGCCTGTATTGACTTGGGTTACTAATCTCACCTCCCCCCTCCTTTTGGGATAAGTTATTTTGCAACAATATCGAGTGTTTCAGCCTAGAGCATTATTGAAGATTAAAAAGAAAGAAACTTTCAAAAGCCAAAACAAAACTACCGTCGTTCCAGAAATCTGCAGGAAGTGTAGATACTCCCTCCATTTTTTCTTCAGATGGTCTAAGGAATTATGTGTGCTTGTTGACGGGTTCTAAAACGAGTCATTACAATCCATGGGTCTGGAGATGTGCATAACGATGAAATAAAACTCAAAATCATGTACTTTTTCAGTGTATACTGGCTCAGACTCAACAGATGCTACTTTTTCTGAACTGCGAGCACAGAGGCGTGATTGTTTGAAAACAGTGTTTACAACCCAGTACATTTCAAAACCTCCAGGGAGGGGAAAAGGAGTTCTGCAGGACAAAGATTTTTAATTACACAGACTTAATCGCTTGTAAACATTGCAAGTGCTCCGCAGACCCGCAGACTTGAGCTGGAGTGCCCAGCCAAAAGCTCGAGCCTGAACTGGAAGCCCCAAATAAGGCGCGAGGATCCGGCGCCGCCCCTTTCTCTCTCGATTTGGTTAGAAAAGTTCCGGTTAGACGAGCTGCAAAGTGGAAAAGCGATCGGAACCCGCAGCCTTTAAAGGAACCGCAAAGGACGAAACGTCATGGATCGGATTTCACCAATTTAGAAACAAGAAAGAAAAAAAAAGTCTTATCTGCGCCTTTTTTTAAAAGTAATATTTTTTGCAAGGGAACTGAGCGACTTTCCTTGTTTGTTGTTATTGTGTCGCGTTTGTCTTCTATTCTGAGCAGAAGGGAAAGTCCGGTTAAGTTTTTTTTAAATATTACAATCATGATTTCATTAGCTCAGCGTTCTCCATACTTCCCATTCATACAACACCCATCTCTTGTGTTTGCCATTCCCATATTTACTGTAGTCTCACGGTAACGCGGTAAATTTACTTCATCCAATCATTTTATCTGTGGCTTGGGGGCAGAGGGAGTGGTGCCTTTATTTTTCAACTTTTAAGTTATGCTGTTCATCGCCGGGGTCCGGAGTCCCAGTGCAACTCAAATCAGAAATGAAATGGTCTTCTTCGAACACACCCTTCTGAACCGGCCAGCTGTGTTTCAACTCGTCCAGGGCTTCGCCAGGTCGCACTCGTGTTAATTGTTTTGTTTCCTCTTCAAAATGATAAACACATACCGGCAAAGTATTATTAAATAATATTAAAGTTTAAACATCTCTTATTAAATATTTTTTACATTTTCTAAAGTTATTTGTCACAACTATGCACGCGCAAAAGATTCGGTTGGGGAATTTGTATACCGGCCCCTAAACTGTGCATTAGACTCATTTTTTTGAACAGTGAGTACATTTTAACAAGAATTGTAATTATAAACAAATAAAACCGCGTATGTCATCGCGTTTTCATTTGTGAGTAGGGCAAGTTGTCGTCCTCTTCAGTATTTCAAGCCGGCGACATTGACATTGAGGGATAATCAGACTCTCGGTGCGCGTTGACAACATCCCACTAGGCTTCATAAACTAGTACTCTGACTTGTATATTTGATACGTTCCAGTTTCAACACACCGATTTCTGTTTAGGCAAAAGGGCGTACACATTTCACAGGCTGGCCCACGTTTCATGAACTTGGCCAAGGTGCGCTGCGCTTCGAAAGCGTGAAAAAGCGTGACTTCTAAGGGGTTTAGAAAAACGTTATCCTGAGAGAGAGGTTTGCGCCCCTGGTTCTACAGAGTCCCTCCCTATAGTTTTTGAACCCATTAGTCAAGATTAAAGCCAGCGTCTATACACATGCAGGAAATGTGCCCAGTGTTCAATAAAGTAATTCCGGGCTCAGGATAAACAAACTACAGACGACTCTTTTGCTCTGCAGGACTGGAGCTACGGACACTTGTGTTATACAGAACTCCCAGTGAGGGTAAAAGAAGCTAAACGACAGCTGAAATCCGGGATCATTAAGTGATAAGGTGGACAGGACTATACATTGGAGTAGCCCCGCATGTGTAGCATTGATTGTTAAGCTTTATTCAGCTGTATTGAGAGGAGTGGCAACTTTAAGCGCTCCTGGCCCACAGAGACCTTCGCACGCTAAGACTCTGATAGTTGATAACTAGCAGTAAACGGACTGTGGGACAACAGCTTCAAGACAAACACTGCTGCTCATTGGCGTGTTAGCCAATCAAAAGAAACAACACTCTCAGGGGAAAAATGAATGGTTTTATGTCACACCAAAGTGTCACTTACTACCGTCGGGCTGTAATTAGTTTGCTATATGTTACTTCACAAACAAAAAAGTGCTGGCTATCAGCTCTTAAAGGTCAACTATATGTAATCAACTACAACCCCCCCAAAAATGAGACGAACCTCCTCACTGTCAATGCTGGTGTATTGGGATCTTTGAATCTTTAATTCCATTAGAGAGAGCAGGTCTTCTCAAGGGTCTCCTTTATCTGCATGGCACAGGAAAGCACACATTGAAAAGTTATCTATTTTAGCAGGGAAGAAGGGAATGATTAGTTTAAAAATTGGGAATTGTTTCAGCTTACTGTGTTCCTGATGCAGGCCTGAACACTCATTATTTGGTCTGGGTATTTGAGAGAGGTGGACTGTGTTTTCTAGCCACCTGGATTCTCCTTGCAATCACTTTAAACCAACCAACCTGAAACGCTTCATATAATAATAATAATAATAATAATAATAATAGTTCCTTACACTTATATAGCGCTTTTCTGGACACTCCACTCAAAGCGCTTTACAGGTAATGGGGATCCCCTCCACCACCACCAGTGTGCAGCCCCACCTGGATGATGCGACGGCAGCCATAGTGTGCCAGAACGCTCACCACACATCAGCTATTAGTGGGGAGGAGTGCAGAGAGTAATGAAGCCAATTCATAGATGGGGAT